GTCTCCAGTGTCATGTTTATGAATTTAATAGTCTCCAGTGTCATGTTTATGAATTTAATAGTCTCCAGTGTCATGTTTATGAATTTAATAATCTCTAGTGTCATGTTTATGAATTTAATAGTCTCCAGTGTCATGTTTATGAATGGAAGTTACAAACTGTGAGAATAATTCTCAAGATGAAAAGTAAATTGATCAAATTCCTAAGTCATGACCAGTGATGTTGTATGACATAAAAAAGACAATTGTTTCTCTATATTTCAATATACAGTGTGGTAAGAAATCTCCATAGTTTCTAACATAATGCCGGTTTGATTTTACAGATTATCAAGGAAGCGATAAGTAGGATAATACTCGGTCAGTTACAATGTTAGGTGAAAGTTGAAGCATGAAATCCTATAAATGTAGATATTTGCAATGTAGATGTCATTTGCAATTGGATCTTTGCAATGTTAGGGGAATGTTGAAACTTGTTTACATTCCTCTTAGCTAAAGCATGAAAAAGCTTTTACTTAGCATGGAATCCTATAAATGTGTAGTTTAAATACATAGAAGTAACTCGCTGTGTAAAATCAGTAGGAATTGTGAAACCGTGAAAACTGTTACTAAGACTTACAGAAAAGACAATAAAATTCTCAGTAAAATTATATCCTAAAGAGTGACCTTCGAAGTAACGAAACCGGTTGAATAAATTAATAAAGGAGATAAAAACTATGATAGTCTGGTTTTCCAATGTTTTGCTAAATATATGCGTGTGTAACCTATAATTGATAAATATCGTTTTGCAGTGTTATTACAAGTCTTATTTAAGTTCAATTAATCATTCTTCAGATAATTAGTGAATCCCGTTAGAGAATAAATAAACACACACACAGCCATAAAAGGTAGTAGTTATGTTGGATATGAATGTTTCATGCTCGTGTTTATTAATAGCTGCACGCATAGCTCTAGACCTGTATTCGAAGGTCAAATATATATATAGTGTAACGTCGGAAGATGGCGCCCATTATTTATCTATATTTTTCTATTAATGTTTATTTTGTTCTTCTCCATTCACCTGCCAAATATATTTTAAACACTGATGTAAGGGATGTTTTCTCTCGGGGAAGTGTAGGCTAATTAATCCTTTCTTACATTGCATATACGCGCATGAGTGCTTTTTATCTCTTTAGTTGTCGCTACCAAAGCCTGGCTAAGTTTGTACAAGTGCAACGCAAACAACTCTCGAGAGTGAAACCAGAATGTATCACGTTTATTGGTTCCAGTATGGAGGCTTTATTTCAACTTAATCGTTGATTATGTAAATACAGATTTTCTTCTGGTGTATTTGCAGTGATAATGTTCGAAAGTTGCCGCTAAGTACAAACCTTAAATTCAAATCTCGATTAGTTTTGAACAAACAAATTAATGATTTTACATTATATATATTTCTGTGTTTTAAATCTTTTTCTATGACTTTAAATACTTGGATTTTTTTATTTTTTTTTACTTTGGGAGTAATAAAATGTCTATTAACATTTGCGTCATAAAAATTCTAACCCGAATCGCCAGCTCCGATATCTAGAATTCTACAACAGGGCCAACACAGACACAACTTGTGAAATATTATTTTTCAATCGTGCACCCTAAACAAGGCCTTTTTAAAGTTTCATTCATTCATAATTGTTCTATGTATAAAACGGACTTTATAATATGTCAGACTGTTATTCAAGTTTTGATAGTTTTGGCTTTTCTTTTTTAAAAAATTCAGTCAACCCATCCATGCATCATTAGATTCAAAGTTTAATTATATGCTAAAAATATTAAAATACTGCTTTAGTAAATATCAAGAACGAATATATTTGTTTTTGTTTAAGCACAAGACTACACAATCCGCGCAGTGCCTACCACAAGGATCGAACCCCAAATTTTAGCCTATAAGTTCTCAAGCTTTACACTGAATCTCTGGAGGATAGATCTAGTATAGTTTCTAGAAATAACTACTATATAATTATTAGGGAAAGCAGTTTCTAGAAATAACTACTATATAATTATTAGAGAAAGCAGTTTCTAGAAATAACTACTAGATAATTATTATGGAAAGCAGTTTCTAGAAATAACTACTAGATAATTATTAGGGAAAGAAGTTTCTAGAAATAACCACTAGATAATTATTAGAGAAAGCAGTTTCTAGAAATAACTACTAGATAATTATTAGAGAAAGCAGTTTCTAGAAATAGCTACTATATACTTATTAGGGGAAAGAAGTTTCTAGAAATAACTACTAGATAATTATTAGAGAAAGCAGTTTCTAGAAATAGCTACTATATACTTATTAGGGAAAGCAGTTTCTAGAAATAGCTACTATATACTTATTAGGGAAAGCAGTTTCTAGAAATAACCACTAGATAATTATTAGGGAAAGCAGTTTTTAGAAATAACTAATGTTGGTTGTTTGTTTCATAAATCCGCACAAAGTTGCACTAGGGCTTTCTATGCTAACCGTGTATAATCTTGAACTGATAGACTAGGGGAAGGCAGCTAGTTAGTAGCACCCACCGCCAACTGTTTGGTTACTGTATTTATATAGCAGGACTTGGCTGCCACTCTAATATCGCCCTCAAAGAGCAGAGTGCTCTTTTACGGGGCGTGAAACATGAGAAGCCGAACAGATTCACAGTCTTGCGAGCTACCCACGAGGCCATGCTCGGCTCAAGAGCTAATTTATTTTTTGAACAAATGCTTCTGTATACTGTACATGGGGAAAAAGTAGTTTAAGATATCATCTAGTATTGCTAAAATTATAATTTTTTATTGGTTATCAAAAGTTAAATGTTGAAAGTGTAAAAAAAACACAAAAAAAACAAGAGGGAATCTTCAATAGCCGCGGCTGTAAGTGGATCTTAAGTAGGTCAAGAGATGGAGCTATGAGCTAAAAGTTTGTACTTGAAAAAAACAAAAACAAATTCAGAGCCATTCTATTAACCGCTATGCCACAGCTAATAAACTTTTATTACAAGTTATAGAAATCTACGATTGTCTGGGAAAGGCTTATAAGAAGATAAAATTATAATAAATAAATCTTTTTGATAAACTTCGTGTATTAGCCTTGTAGTTTTATGTGCCGTTAGGGGAGATTGTTTGTAATTAAGCACAAAGTTACACAATGGGCTATCTGTGCTCTGCCCACTACGGGTTTCCAAACCCAGATTCTAGCGTTGTAAGTCATACCGCTGTGGCACTGAGGGGGCCGTTAGGGGAGAAATCAAAATTAAAATTACCCTGTGACGCTAAGATTAGCATAACATGACAAGATAGTGTTATTGCTCATAATTTTAGTTCGAAATTAAAGTGAATTGAGATTTTTCAAGTGGTGGTAAAAGCTTAGTAAATGAAGACACAAAATCGTAGTTTCAGGATCTTTCGCTGTATGGTACGTGCAAGGAAGTCAACATGTTTTGGCATTTATCCAGAAGAGTGCGTAAGGATCGTGTTTTTAACTTCTCTTTCTTCACCTACCCTTTTCTGTTCTTCTTTTTTCCCTAGAAATAAATAGAAATATAATAAATTCTACAATATTATTTAACCAATATATTTAAGATAACACTTTTGATGTATGACAGAAAGTTGTGTTTATTTTTAAACTTTTCGTCACTAATTAAACTTGTATAAGCAATTCGTCTCTTAGATATTGGAAATGGTAAAGTAAACGTTTAAAAACATAGGCACAGCGCAAAATCAATGAATCTCCTATATTTTACAACATCTTCCCAGAAATAGCGCACTCGTTTAAAAATGCTGGTCAGCGTAAAACTGTAAAACCAATTCGTAATTCTCTGTATTATTTTTTGGTACTTTTATAATTTTATTTTGGTATTTTAATATGTTGCGCTATAACAGACATACTTGCTAAAGAACATACAACCTCGAAGATGCAAAATGTTTCTAGACATTGGAACAACACTAATGGTTATGTGTAGATGCGCAAAAGGGGTCTCGATATTGGAAAACACTGATGGTTATGTGTAGATGCGTAAAATGGGTCTCGATATTGGAAAACACTAATGGTTATGTGTAGATGCTCAAAAGGAGTCTTAATAGCAGAACAACACTAATGGTTATGTGCAGATGCGCAAAAGGAGTCTTGATATTGGAACAACACTAATGTTTATGCGCCGATGCGCAGAAGGAGTCTCGATATTGGAGCAACACTAATGTGTAGATGCGCAAAAGGAGTCTTAATATCAGAACAACACTAATGGTTATGTGCAGATGCGCAAAAGGAGTCTTGATATTGGAACAACACTAATGGTTATGTGCAGATTATTTTATTAGAAAGTCTCTCCAAATCGTCTAGCAGTAGAACCTCTTGTTAATTTGCCTATACGATATAGAAGGGTGAGTGCCTTCTGGCATCGACGCTACTCGATTAAACTGCTGGAAGCGGTAAGTAACTAGATTTTTCAAAAACAAAAGTTAATAGAACAGAAATATAAACTTTAAACAAAAATTACCCGATTAAAAAAGTAAAATACAGATATATCGAAAACGACAATGAATGTGCTGAGAATGTTTTATTAATAGCTTTTGAGGTGTAATGCCAATAATTAATAAACAGTCACTACAATGTTTCTGTTTTCTACAGTTGAGAAACATTTCCGCACACACAAAGCGCGACAAAAAATAACAACTCTAAAATTGAACGTTTGTTTATTTGCAATTAAGCACAAAGGGCTATATGTGCTCTGCCCACCACGGGTATCAAAACCAGGTTTCTAGCGTTGTAAGTCCGCAGACATTCCGCTGTGCCACTGGGGGGCCTTTAAAATGGTAAATACTTGTGGGTAGTGGGAAAAACTATAAATGTCTGTGCATTTCCCCCTGACACATTATTGTGAAAAAACATTTAGAAGAAGTGGGTATAATGCATCACTTTTCCAACTTTATGGAGTTTTATTAAAGAATAGTGACATCACCTATGACGTGACAGAAGATTGCATGAAAGGAAAGTTGCTGCAGTGTTTCTTTTTACCTCAAAGTCACGTGACGTTCTGAAGTTGGATATAAACAGCGGGCACTTCGTGTTCTCCCACGATATAGTTTGAGACACTGAAATATTCGACAGTAACGTTAGAAGATGGCAGGCAAGGTATGTTTGTTCATAAGGTTCATAAGAAATTTGAAATTAAGGATAAGCCGAATCTACTCATATATTCTGAATATTTGATTTCTCGGCCTACGTTTTTATCTCTTCTTCTACCGAGACATTAAGCAGACGTTCATGACCACCATGATATATATATATGTTTCTTTTATTCGTGTTGCATACTTAAGTGGTAATGAGTTAAAATAATACCTAATGGTTGTTTTTTTATAAACCGCTGAACTCAAATGTAATTTTGCCGCGAAGGCAGTTGAATAATGTATTAATAACGTGCCCATGTCATTAAAAATATAAATAAATTAGTTGCTTTTAGAAAACCAAGAAAACAACCGTATTGTTCCGAATCATGTAAAAATCACCCGAAGAAATTGTTTGTATCTGAATTGTTAACTAGTGTATATTGAGGGGTTTCACTTCGCAATGAGTAACGACCTCTTATTTTTCTACAATCTACTTTTGGCTGTAAAAACTAAAGTACATGATTATTAAGCTTTGTTTTATGCTTAACATTTATAATTGTTAAATTAAGTATAAAATCGTTGTTTAACAGGTTTTTAAAAATATATATAAACCATAACAACACAGTCATAAATTGATCTGTAAAGTTTATTTTCGTCGGTGTAATACTGATTTAGGAAACAACAACAACAAAAAACACACTTTCCAATGGAATTAACAGCAGAACCTTGTCATGAAATATAAATCTACTGATAACTAAAATGTACGGAAGCTTAAAAGTAATAGTTTTTGTTAATTTCAGCATTTACTGCTTACGTAGCTGAGAATAAATTCGAGTATCTGTTTCGAAGATACAGTTTCTAATTTGATTTGTTTCTTCATTTTCTGTCCAAAGTCTTTGAATTTTCAACTGCATTGAAGTATGTCCAAAGGAACGTAGCAATTTGTTTAGTTTCAATAAAAAAAGTATTTTCAAAAATCTGTAACAAGGATGTAACAGTTGTCGCCATGAATCGAGTTACCTTCCTCTCTGTAAGTGCATTGTTAGGTTTTCTAGACGAATGGTTAGTCTAACTACGTACATGGTGTAAGTTTAGAGTATGTTTAATCATGAGAAGACCTTCACTAAATCTCGTGTCAAGGCTACGTATAACTCCATCTCTTGATGAGACAGTTGTCACCTCATAATTTAAAACAACCTTGAGCTCCACAAGGCGCAACTTTGTAAGAATTTATCGCTGTGCGTAGGCGGCCCACGTGAAGCCCTTGCGAAATACAAACAACAGAGAAACTCTGTGTTCGCACACTGTTTATATTATAAAACCATTTTTTATCTTTTCTTTTTCTGCGTGTTAACTGTTAGATCTATTACTTTTAAATTCAGGCTTTAATTTATATCTTAAGATTACCAAAAACGATATTATTTTTGTTTTGTTTTCGAAGTGTAGCAACGTAAGTAAATCGTATTACACCGTCAAAAGATTTATATTTGCATTTTACACACACCCGCAAACATGCTCACCCTTTCAGCCGTGGGGGCGTTATAACGCGACGGTTAATCCCACTATTCGTTGGTAAAAAAATATCCGAAGAGTTGGCATTGGTGGTGGTGACTAGCTGCCTTCCCTCTAGTCTTACACTGATAAATTAGGAACGGCTAGCACAGATAGCCCTCGTGTAGCTTTGCGCTAAACTCAAAAAACAAACAAACAAAATAAACACACCCGCAAACCACAAGTACTGAAAGAGGAGGGGGGACTCCGCGGGGAAAAGCCCCCATTTTTTCTATTTTAAAACTTTTCACTACTAGCAGTCTGTTTGTTTTTGTTTAAGCTTAATGCAACACAGTGGACTATCTGCTCTGTGGCCATCACGGATATCGGACCTCGATTTTTAGCAAATAATCCTTTAGGCTTACCGCTGAACCTCTGGAGGCATCACTAGCAATAACTTGACTTCTTGGTCGTCACCAAAAGTGCTCTTCTTAATGGACTTTCATGATGTAGGGAGGAGCAACGGTAAAGGGGGAGATTGTTGGATTTAAAGCCATCCCAAAATGTGCCTTGACTTTCCCCTTAGCCCCCGCACCCAGCTAATAATGTTTACTGGTAAAATTATTCCATTTCCTGAATACTATAATACTTGTGCCCATAAGATGTAGAATGCAGCACCCTCAATTGTTTGTCGAGCCCACATCAGCCCCCCTCACCATGATGATTCTGATGTTGTGTTATTCAATGAAGGTTAACATGGTTCATCTTAAGTCCGAAATGTGAAGAAAACACTAGAACTCGTTCTGACATGAAAAATAGACGAATTCTAAAAACTCATCAATAAAGAGTTTAACGATAGATTTATACAAATAATAAATGTATAAACCTCCTTTGGAGTATTATGTTGTAATAGTTAAGGTTTATTTTCCAGGCTATACAATCTTTCATTTTTTTTTCTAATTATAAAAAGAACACATTTTTTGAAAATGAATAAATGCGGAATTTTTGTTTGTTTTGTCTTTAACTCTAAATAGCCAATAAAATGTCGAGCTGCTGTAGCATGGGAAGCAGGAAAACCGCTCTCCATAGAAACCATAGAGGTAGCGCCACCTAAAAGTAAAGAAGTTCGAGTGAAGGTAAGATAAATATTCATCAAGTGATTTTTTTTTAAATGACTTCCGTCATTTAACTGATTTAGTGCTCCAGTGCTTGTTGATTCGTGATACCCAGAAAACGTGGGATCAGCCAAGAGGATAAGTTAGTGTACTGTTGAGCTGTGGTGTAAGCATTCAGGATTGCAAGTTTGGGGAAAATCAAACCAATTTGGGAGAAAAATAGGGAAAATGTTTCATGGGAAAATATGTGAGGGGAAAATATTTTTAAATGGGAGGCTCAGATAAATATGGAAATTTCATGTTTTCTGTATTAGACCTATTATATTCTGTTTAATGACAAGTAATTTAATTATAATTATTCTTAGCCAGCTTGAAAAAGACTTTCACATCGTAACGATTGTTGTTGAAACAAATGGCTTATATAAATAGTGTTCCGATTACTAATGTGTTTGTGTTCCAGCCGGCCTGATAAGCTCTGGATTGAGCAAAATGCGTCGTCGGCAACGGACATGGCGAGCACTGTGTGGTTGGAATCCTATTGTAATACACTCTTCTAATTCTTGAAAATACCTGAGGGACTACACATAACATTTAGTGTTAATATATACATATATATCAAACATATTTAATAGACCTACAACAACTGTAAGGGGGGATAACAGTTATCATTACAAACATAGGCGTACAGGGAATTTTTCAGAGGGGGCTGTAAAACTTTTGCCCGAATGGCCGTATGTATTGCAAGCTGGGGGGGGGCAACTGTCCCCAGCCCCTCCGCCTCGTACGCCTATGATTACAAAAGCATAGAACATTTATATATAATAACTTTGCATTTAAAAAAAGAAAAACAAAAGTGGAATTCCACAAAATGTAGGAACAACTAAAGATACTATTTTACAGGGGGGGGGGGGATAAGTGTGAGAAGTGGACCCAAAAAGCAATGGTGATACCTCGTGTCCTTCCAATTATACATTAAATCGCAGATTAAAAATGTTTAAGCAACAGAGAATTAACTGGTAATCAAATGAAAGGTTGAATTCGTTGACTTAAGCCACAACGTCCAGAGTCCAATTATACATCACAGTCCTCGGGTAGTTGTGGGCACGGTAGGTACTCTTTTAATATAAAGTTTTATCGAGCTAGCTAAATTAGAAGGCTATGTAATTCGTTTTACTTTCTAATATATTCACCGGAATAGTTTGGTAATTTAGTATTTAAACTATGATAGTGTTTGAGTTAATATCAATTTTCCAGAATTATCACCATGCCCAGTGTTAGATAACGCAAGCTTTGAATGAGTTAGGATTTAATTCTTGAACACTGCATCTTTTAGATTGAGGCTACGGGAGTCTGTCACACAGATCTCCACATGAAAAATGGAGTTGATCCAGGTGTCACTGCCGCTAAAGCCAATTTCCCCTGTATCCTTGGTCATGAAGGTGCTGGAGTAGTGGAGAGTGTCGGGAACGAAGTCACAAAAGTGAAGCCGGGTAAGCGAGAGGTTCAACCAGTTTTATTTATATATTCACAAATATTGTAAAAGATTCAAAATGAACTGTGTTTAAATAATTTGCTATAGAAAGAGATAAAAAAAATGCTTAAAGAAAATTAAAATTATCCAATAGATTTATTATATTAAGATACAGTAATTATATACATATATTATACATTTACGTAAAGGAAATCTTAAGTGAAGCAAAGGCAAATTTCTTGAAAATAAGTCCTTTTGGCACATATAAATTCTTGTCTCTTAAGATAGTGTTCGTTTCAATCAAAATATATACCAGTTTCAAAAACTGGAATTATTTTGAATTACTTTAGGCTTTCTAAGCAAACTGTTTTTTATGCATGAGAGATCCAGCATGGACTGACAACATGACGACACTTTAAGCAAACTGTTTTTGATGTATGACAGATCCAGCATGGATTGATAACATGGCGACACTTTAAGCAAACTGTTTTTGATGTATGACAGATCCAGCATGGATTGACAACATGGCGACACTTTAAGCAAACTGTTTTTGATGTATGACAGATCCAGCATGGATTGACAACATGGCGA